CCTATTACAGACCTATCGATTCCGATTAAGTAAAATATACCGTTACATAATTAAATGAACATGGATGTCTTACTTCGCCGAAGTAAGCTGATCGCTTTAGTACCATAGTATACATGCATCGGTCACTTATAAATGATAACGGTCACTTGAGAGATAGGATACTGCGATAACGTCGACATATACCTACAATATGTTCAAAATAAAATAAATTTCTAACGTAACGTGGCTTTAATTTATGTCATTTGATAATGATAGTTAATTTTAATGAGACATGAGATATTCAGTAATGAATGTAAGGGAACCGATGTGTGTAATGTTATTTAAAAAAAATCAAAAAAAATCAGCGGTTTCTTTTTTATGTTGTATTTCCACATAGATTGATTAAGATATCAGTTTCACTTAACTACGATATATGTATACACGCTCAATGATTTCATTCAGTGTGCAGGCGGCGTGGATACTAGAAACCAATATCAGACTACAATTACTGCATACTGCATTCACGTGAACAATTTAATATAAAAGCATTACATATATGTGCTGTACATAATTAGGCTGTCAGGAGAACTATTCACTAATGAAAAATATCATAAACCCACAAACACATCATTGACCTCATTCGGTGTTATTTGGGTGGTTTTTTTTACAAAATGTTTTTGACCATTTCGCCTTGGATATTGAAAGAGAGAATATGTGGTAATTATTTAGACAAAATGATGCTATGTAAATATGATTCACCAGCTGTTATGAAAACTATGAAAAATATATGTACCTTCGTCTGTCACTTCCACACGATGAATACCAAAATTAATTGTGATTCTTAATTTACCATCAATGTCGATAAAGTATACCAATACGATTTTTTGAACGCCGACAGAAGCATTACTATGTACAATTACCACACAAACACACATTATTGTATTTTGGTGAGAACACATATCGTATAAGTACTTATGTTACTGCGAACGACTTTGTTAAATATGTAATACGACAATGTCTAAACCAGAGCGCTGTGACCTTTGACCTTTTGCTTTCCAAATGTCAACGAGTTCTATACCATCTACTCACATAGAACCAATGTAACCATGCGCAAATAGGTCTTTGTGACTGATGACCTATGCATTACACATTAAAATGATCTACTCAAACTCAAGTAGGGCTCCATAGTTAAACATTCGTATTAGCAATTTTGAAGTAACACAATGACATTGAGAGTAGCTATATATAGTCAGTAATTATTTGGACACAGATATTTGAGTACGGGACTCGTGTTTTTCCTGTGGAACTCATCCTGATTTTGAGAAGGAGTTCTCTAAGTAATGTGACGCATCAACATCATCCTTGCTCACTAGCACAGACTATATATAGCTTTTACCTTTGTTCGCTGTAGATACCGTCATCAAAGTAAAGAGACGCACATGTACACGTATACTGTTAAATGCGATGCTTTGACAATCAAATGTTTTTCGTCTGACATATTGCAAACGATTCGCCAAGTGCTGAATTTGCCGACGTAAACTTAGTAAGCAGGTGCTTGTTCGAACAGTGCCTTACTCTTTCGTAATCGCCTGGTATACAGTGAATAAAGACATAATCTTGTTACTTCTTCAGATAGTTAAGGTAATAATATAAATATACACACTGTTCTGCAATGCTCTCATCTATGATGTAACTGCAAATAGGTTTATGATCAATCGTATTCCGATTTTTATTTTTAAAAAAGATGCCATAATCAAGTTTAAGTCACATTATATATCGGCTTTATTTCTGAGGAAAGGGACATATGAGTTGAAACTCAAGCAAGCATGTCTTTAATTCTCAAGTGTGGTTTTATGATTCATATGAGTAAATATATCTCTATTTATGTAGGTTATTTAAGTAACGACAACCAGAGTTACGTATGGAAAGATCGGTGTGTTGTATTGGGAAATACTATCATATTTATACACGATAGTTGCCTTCCTTTTTGTTTCATTACATTGTCAATCTGTTTTATTTCAATGCATTTTTTACGTCAATGATTTTTAATTTTATAGGTCACCCATGCAAAGAGTGTATATAGACTTGTCAGTATTTTCGCGCTTTCACACTTTACAACGATACCCCCAGTGTTAAGGTCACAAACATATACTTAACGATATTGCTTACTCCATATAAAAAATATTATTTATCATTTTTTAATTTGCCCTCGTGTTCGATAGGAAAAGGGGCAGACAAAGAACGAAAAGCCACACAAGGTTAATATTTACTGCCCGATATGACCATTTCTATTTTGTAGTATTCACCAACGGTTATAAGGGTCAAGGGAATGAAAAGTTTTCTTAACCGTATGTAGTAATACGACAACGGTTCTAATGGTCGAAGGAATGACATTGTATTTAAACATATTTAGTTATACAATAAAGGACGAAAGCTGTTTATAACCTTCATGACGTTACACAACGTTTGGCTACGATATATACAATGTGTCGATTCTTTAACTAACATTTCATGTTAACAATTTTCAGTTATCAAGATCAGCTTTTAAGTTATGGTCACATTAATTGTTTTATGTTAACTAAAATAGTTAATTTCATAAGCATAATAAAGCATGAAAAATAATCACAGAAAATTTAAATATGTAACTATTTAAGCAAAGGACTGTTTAGTGCAATAGAGTCGGAAGAACAATGCTCAGTCTGCTGCAGAATAGAACATCTATGCTGTGCAGGGTACAATGGCATAAAGCAGGCTATCATTTTCTCCAAATCCACAGGAGAAACGTTGAAGTGCTGTAATAAACAGTAGGTAAAAGGTAGATTTAAATAACACAACCAGATTCACACGATAAACGGTCATAAACACAGGATGTAGGTATATATACGATGTCTCATTTATACAACGAGACATAATAGTTTGTGATACAAGTATTAAACTAATGTACATACCACTACATGACACGGGGATAGTTCACACAATATGCTGCAGCCAACAGAACGTTAAGACTTAATCAAGGTGAATAGAGATATATACACTAAGCAAAACACAAACAAGAAAAACAAACATATGACGCCTTGTATTTGAACGTCAACAATACCGACAACATATCTAAACGTCTGCCTCATTAGATACTGTTATACTTACTATCTTAGTTCTGATCTAGAATAGATTTTTTATGAAACTTTTTGTTTGTAAGTATTACAGAGAGAAATCTGTTCACCTATTGTAAAGCTGAACATTTTCGGGTTCCATTGATAGGTAGTATATGAAAGGTGTTATCAAAATCTAGCTGTGTTACAAAGCCTCTTTTCCAAAAAATAAATAAAAAAATTTAAAAAAAATGAGAATTTTCACAGAAACAAATTACATATTATACATCATATAGTATGCCACGTTATCCACGTAGATGTATTTCAAAATGTTTTTCTAAACATTCGGGTTGCTTGGAAAATCTTACCATTAGTATCACAATGTGACCGAAAACAAGAAAGAACATGTTAAATATGTTGACGCTACGGCCTAAATACTGTCTGTAGTTATGTAGTATCCCTTATTTGTCTGTTTCGACACAATGATAAACCGCAGAGCACATGGCATTGTTAACACTTCCATTATGGCAAACGTTTTATATCTATTCACCTTTTTTTCATTCTGCCACTTTTCAAATCTATATATTTGATCTTTGACACCTGTTTGCGTTGCTATGTAATAACACTTCGTGTATGCTATTGTAATGAAATTAAATATCAGTATCGACACAACTGGAAGATTTATTGCTTTGAGAAAATTCCTCCAGCTTGTAAACACGACACATGGGATTGTCAATACATAACGCCTTATATTTCTATGTTGTATTTCGAAATGAATTAATAGTCAGGCCGGTTTATTAGTAACATTTCATCACAAGACGTCCCTGTTATTACCTGCTGTGTAAACAAATACTGGTGCGGTGATATAAGGCATTGTATCAACTCCAACATGTGGTGGAGAACTTCCCTGTTAACGTAAGAGAGTAAAGCTTACTAATCTACAAATATTGACACTGTGGTACGACACAAAACAGGCAGATTTACTTCCCAAATATTAACAACAAATTCACATGATTAATTTCAAACACTGACAGGTTTTTTAAATGTCTGCTATTATGATTGTGTCTATTTATATACATTTTAGCAGACACGGTTTGATTGTCCACAGAGAAGTCATTTCAGCGACAGTTTAACAGCCTGTGGTATAAATACTGCTAGGTCATCATCAAGGTCATTTCTATGATAATCGATGATAGATTAACACAAACATTGGTCTTTATATCAAATAGCTGTGCTTTAAGTGAATACCCCACATAAATACGTGTGTTAGCAACGCGTAATGCGCTTAGTAAAGAAATATGTCTTGACAAGGAAAACGTAATGATTCATTCAAAACCGAAAATATTTAGGACATACCTAAACAGTTCTTGGTAAAATTCAAATATTAAATTTGTAAAATCAGTGTTTACATTGTCCCTGCAATACAAGGTAACCTGCGACGGGAGAACGATCCCATTATGATAACAGTTATGATTACGACCTTACGTAAGGTGTGATCTCTCAAACGTCAATATATACGTCTTACAAACGTGCTTGCCAAATTTGATATTTCTGAAAGTGTAGTCGACAACACTATGACAATAAGGTAGTAATTTCTGTTTTAATATCTTAAAGCCATAAGAATACCTTAACCGAACTAATGTGTTTGAGCCTCACTACTTGCCATTTGGATTGCATAAACTGCCTTTAATAAATTAAAAGGTGTAAGTAAATAGGTTAAGCTTATATTTTATCAGTTATCGTATGTGCTTTGGTTGTGACCTGATATTTTGACTGGACCTACAGGTACACAGCTATCTACTATGTCTACATATTAATTCGAAAATGAAACCCCCACAAAACTAGTCTAATCTACGGTACTTAGGTGTATGTGAATTATAGGTCCCTGACATATCCCTGATTAACACACAATAGATCCACTACCAGCTACAAACACCCTGCTGATTTTCTCAATGGACTGTATCATACGAGTCTATTGAGTCTAAAGGTTTTCTGTAAAAACATTGGTCTGAAAAATCACCATAACTCATCAAACACCGGCAAGATAGACTGGAATAGACCCTATCTGTAAACTACACAGGTATGTACACACTTAATATCACGATACAGTTGATTACGGTTCGAATTAGCTTGAAATGTTTAGAATCGATTTTTATGATAATCAAGTGAATTCTTAAATAAGAGTAAAATTAATTATCAAGATGCATTAAAATCATCACATTAACCTAATTTAACTGTTTTATACATGGGCTTTTGAAGACAAAGTCACCAAATTACTTTATTTGGTAAATTATCTTTACTTGTTAAGCTAACTGGACTAACATACAGCTCCTACTAACGTACTATTCGATTTAGCGATGAACTGTTATTTAACGGATAGATAAGTTTGAGGGGTACGGTCTATAACCGCCAGAAGCGGCGGTGGGCTGTCAAATACAGATATGTTTATAATCACAGGTATTCATTGTTCGAACTGCAGATCTTTAAAAAGATGCCTTACCTGTCGCACCTGAGCCCGTGAATTGTGTCTTAAGACGAGATCTGACCGGCACACATGACACTTACAACGGGAAACGGGCTCTGCATAAAAATGATTGGGGAGTAAAGTTAACGGGGCCTGATCCTATTCTGTGTGGACATTATCGCGAATCAATATCGAACCACCGCCTTGGCAGTAACGCATTCTGTTTATGGTTCCTAAGACAATGGACTTCAAAGAGGGCCAATTAGCAGTCTCATCACTTCACAACAGCTGTGATCAGTGTATGTACAGGTGAGACAATTAGTAGGTATAGGATTCAAAAGACAGGTGTGTTGACTACCTGGATATTGGACCTGGTCGTGTGCTGTCTGAAAACATGATTACTTCAGGTAGGTCATTAATTGCTAACTTTCGATGACTGTGGCGACAAGTGGCGATTCTTCAGTAAGGACCAGAAAAGATTGACATGTGGACATTTAAACTGGACACACGTGTTAATTCATAATCAAGAATGAGGGTCATATGGACAGAATATGGTGATCGGGACATTTAAATCCAGCATTTATAGGATTCATGTGAAAAGTTTGGAGAAAAATCTTTTGTAAGTCCATACATTCACCTGAAAGGTAATCTTATATATATTGGACAGTAGCTTTAAAATTTTATTCGTTTGGTGTTTCTAAAAGACCATTACGTTGTGGTCAAACTCGATTACCCACAAATATACTGCTTTCAAAATATCCACATAACTACGGACATTACCCAGAAATTAACATTTGTCTGGACAACCTGTGCTATGTGTTGACATTCTGAAGATATCAATTTGTCCCCTATCACCATATACAGGTATGGTAAACGCTAACGTTTGGTGTAAACACCGGGCCATTTAAACTCGAGATTGAATTACAAGAAGTGTTATGTTAGGGATGGCACATGTTTAACATCGATTTTTCCTTCACTGGAATATTGAATTGATAATTTGACAGCTAGGCATTAAGAGACTCAACCAACCATGAAAACGGGAATTATAGATGTTCAGTTCGATCACGAAGACACTGAAAACGTGGCGGTCGTCGGCAAGATCGGTAAGATGGCGAAGAAAGTCAGAATTAAAACCAACGTAGAACATATGGAAAGAAAAGAGAAGAAAAAGAGACGACGAAGACAAGGGTATCCAAATTTAGCACAAGCACAGAGGTCGAAAGAAATTGGCAATGAAACAGACAACGATTCCTTCGAGGAGGATGACGGAATTTTACCAACGATAGAGGGATTCGACCCACGGAAAAAGAAAACAGAGGAAGTATCAGATATCAGAAACACACGACCGGGAATATGTGATGCTTGTAAGAAAAAAGGTCTGAATTCTGCGGATGAATACATGCGAAGGACTTTCAAAAAATATGACACGAAAGATGCTCACAGTGACGGACATTGCATAGTGTGTCAAGAAATAGGCGCAAATTTTAATTTTCTTGATTCCAATTCTGGATCGGCTTCTATGACCTACCCACGTGATTTTTACGATAAATTTTCGCGCGAGACAAAACCGCCAAACATTGATTCAGAGCCAGAACCGTCACGTGGTTCTCCAGGACTTCCTTCTATACAAGAGGAGCTAAGATCCTTTCCCAGCAAGCCTGACCCTCTCGGGACGACAGGTGAGAATGCATTTGAATCTGCTCGAAAGGGTGTACTTGCACGGTTAGCTGCAGAATCGCCAAAGCGGAGGGATGCTTTAGGACGAAGCAATGCAGGTAGAGAAAGAGGGGGGAACCTTTTTATGGATTCCGGAAGGAGAGATGAACCAACGAGGTATTCTCCATTTATGGAGAAAATTAAGAAAGACAGATATAGGACTGAACTACAATATCCAGACGCCGAAAAGAAGGAACTATTAGTTAAAGAGTTTCAATTCGAAACTCCAAAACTAGATTTAACTGGGCATGGTGATATTCGAAACGTCTCTAAACGGGACCTTGAGTACCGTAAGGACATCAAATACAGCACTAGTTTCGAACCCTCAAAATTTCGCCATTTAGTGAAAACTCGTGTAAGGTACGAGGAGTACCCCCTCCCTACATTAAATGCTTACTGTTTTGCACCGCAGGAAGTTTCAGACGAATTCGAGGACTTGCCCTTCAATAGGGGTCTTAAAGGAGGGACCATCAAAAAGGATCCAAACCCGTTTCATAGAGAACGCCAAGAACTACTTCAGAAGCAGGAAAGGAATTGTAAGTACACGATGTTGATACAGCTCATAGGTACAGTAATTTGTGTATTTTATATTAAACGTAACCTCGTAATTAATGTACTTCTACTGCATAGTATGATGGTTAGGTCATTAGAAGATGAATTATTTAAACTGTACCATATTCGATTTTATAGTAATCTGCTATGTGTATAGATATAAATAACCATACTATTTAAAATCAATCACAGAAACGGTCTACACAGATGTTTTGAATGTTCAACATAACTTCATATTTACAAAAGTTTTGAGGCGATCTCTACAAGGACAATAATATCGCCCTTCATAGCCATGCCATTTCTATACACGTGTTGTGATAACTTTACCCACTATAACTTAAATATCTGTCAATTAATCAGTTTCTGTATATGTTGAAATGGCAACTGAGGTAGAGATACCGAAACTTTATTTAAACTCCATAATGAGAGCAATGTTAATAGATTTAATGAAAACAAACACTTGAATAAGTAGAACAGCCGAGATACGACGTTCGGCTATAACTTTACACCTGCCTGTGGTTCTGGCCCCTGTCCTACAGGGAAGTTTTGGTAAGCATGTGTTAGATGTTATCACACACACTGGAAAGTCAATAACTACCAGGATTCCTCGTGTTTTTTTATTCCCATTTAATTATAAACTATCCTGAGTTTACGCGATCGTCAGGTGTTAAAGACCTCAATCATTTACCTGTTACTGTAGGTCTCTTGGTATGCGTATATGGGAATTACGATGTCACCTCCTCAAGTGGTTATCTGTCCTTTGATCTTAAAGTTAGGCATGCACAAGCATAATACCTTAGTGATTATGACACAATGAATAAAACAATGACGCAGCGGATTTTTGTGAAATACGTAAAAATTTTTCAAAATAATAGTTAACCAGTTTTCTACCCGCATAAGATTTACAGGCTTATGCTATTTGATTCTGTGTATTTATCCCGAACTTCATTTACGGAATTTCTTGATAACGTATCACTGTCAGTCCTGGTAGCACGATTTTCTAAATACATCTTTTAAAGATATATATGATAGGCGTGCGTAGTTTGAAACATCAAGTTAAAATACAAGTAATATCCCATGTTTCGCTATATATAATTTGGTTGGGTTTTAGAGTTGGCAAAGCAGGAATTCCTTTGTTCTACTGTAAACAGTGCTCAATAAATGTTTTTGGCAATGACAACGTTGTTATGTATCACTTTAGTTTGTATTAAATGCCATGAACCGAATAAACATTTAAACACAGGTACGAATACATAAATCGCATTCTTTTTAGATCATATTATGTAATCAGGGATCTGACCTCGTATCAGGCTTAAGATTGACCAGCTTTGTCAATACCACAGGAAAATGTAATGCAAATACTGGAAATAAACAGAGGGTTGGATTTCACGATAACGGTTCGATTGTACGTATTCAACTTGTACGTATACGGTCTCGAATGAGGTTTATATGGGTATAAACCATGGTCACTTGCACTCATATATCACTTAAATGTCTTAGCACCAAAACAGCCTAAAGAAGGACCGCATATATATGTACGTCATGAGTCAAACTGTCTTGGGATTAGGTTTGGATTCTGAAAGGAACACATATCAATTACAAAAGTTATAATGCAATGGAAATAAAATATATATTAAAATTATAAAATGTATTATAATGCCAAACGTTACGGCGAAAACCTAGGTAGATTTCTCTCCTGAATGTAACGGGTACTTAATTCTAATAACAGTCAACTTTCATGTATATTTGTTACTTGACTCAATATATAATTGTATATTATGCAGTTTTGACTGTTTCCCTTCTAGAATTACAAAACGTAACGTGGTGGGTTCCAACTCCTTGAGAAACTGGTTATGACTGTAGACATGAAACAAGTACATGTATATACTGTGTGCCAGCAGGTTTCACACAGCACGACACTTTGGTGGTGGGAACATAATGATCTCTTGTCATCCTCAGAAATATCCTACCTCTAGTTGTTGACCTGCAATTTTTACGGGACGTGCAAATATCCAACCTTGCTGTTACGCATTGGATACCATAATGTTTAAAGTCTCTCCTTGAAAATAAAAAAAAATAAGCAGATTATTTTACAATAGCCACTGATGGAAATTACAGAAAATCTCATGAACGGATAAGTGTTCCTTGTTTTATGGCAGACGTGTTGGAGAGCTGCTTTCTCCTCAGAGTGCTATATACTTGAAGGTTGCACGAAGCACTTCTGTTGTGTGATAATCGAAAATAAGTAGTTTGAGAGATACCTTGTATGGTTGTATTGCGTAAGTGAAACCATAAGTGGATTGATTAAGGTGTGCTGTTCATTGTAGCACGTTTAAAGTGCACGCGCGTGCTACATATAGTATTGGTATAGCTTCAAAGTGAGTGCGCTTCTTATTGGAACCACGTTAGTCAGATGAATAGAATTTTAAACGAACACGAAGCTAGCATACGTATCTTGAGCATTATGAACGTTGTAAAGCCTTTTTTTCGTTTTTCTCCTTGAACATATTAACATTATATTACGAATCTCTTAATTCAGATCATGATGTAATATAAATTGTATTTATTTAAATCTTCAACATCAAATTAAAATAGACCGTAGTTCGGTGTGTGGCAATGTAGTACCAGATGCAATGCTACTTGCTATAATCGTTCTTAGCCAAAATTACTCGAGGTAATATATTATATCGATAGCAGACTTGTAATAATGGTGATAAAATCGACGTGATTGATTAAGCAACATCAGCTATAACTTAAGAGATTTGCTTCGGAATTCCGTACATTTTAACAAAGTTAGGCCAACAACTATCACAGTTTATTCTTTGTTGTGTGTGTCTTTGTAAGCTAGTAAAACAGAATATATTTAACGTCTTTGCAAAGTGACAAATCTGGAACAAAACGATCACAGGAACAGAGGAGACACTGAAACAGTACTCAAATGGATTATTGAAATAGCATAATATATAATAATGAAATATTTGTATGATATTTTTCATATCGGGTGTGAGTTATTCAACCAAAGTGTATTTTTATGGTTTATAAAACGAGGAACAAAATATTATTGGCCTGATGACTGAACTAAGCCGCTTACATCGTCGGCAGACGTTCGATATTCAGCAATCGATGTGATAGGTGTAGTGTATCGGTGTGGGTTATCAGGCATGCCCTTACACTAGACACCACGTCAAGTCCCTGTCAGCGGCGACAGTTACATACACAGAGATGTTAGTAGTTATGTAAAACACCCCACCAATATCAGACAACATCAATAGAATTATGTAAAACCTCTCCAGTAGATTGGTCATCTGCCCAAATACTAAGGATCAAAAGCTGACAGGGTACACAAACAAACATTCAGGTTGGCTAAATAATTGTTACAAACAGGCTTTTGATGACATTGCTGAAATACTTATCTAACATCTTCAGGCAAATTAGCACAGCAAAGAACATGTATCGCTCACCTACATATACATAGAATCCCTAACCCTCATGTAAAAATGGGGAATCGTTAAGGAAAGTCCGTTCACGTAAAAAAGGGGTAAGCTAAAACATCGAGTTACACGTTAGATTAATACTTTAATGATCTAACACTTCAGCTTATCTCGTATTTTACCGCCTCCCTTAATCGATTCCTGATATATACCGTACAGCAGGATAGTACCGTGGGGATGATATTTTCGCGGGTCAATAGCGTGATCGCGAAAAACATAATCCTCAGAATAGTATGACAAGCGTAAAGATGAGCCGCGATAATAAACTGTATTTATTATAACAGTAATATTGTCATGAAATAGCGAGTATCTGGCTGAATGGATTCATTTAAATCAAGGATAATGCAAGATATTTGAAAACAAATTAAATCACACATGTAATAGTTTTGTTGATGATTTGGTCAACAAAATACACCAACATGTTGTTGCTCGATATGCCGTAATAAAGCCTACTCATTGGCCTACTTACAATTGTATATGCGGAGTATCCCGACTCTGTGCTAAAACATTACAAATTATATTCCTTGTTCATTAAATTTTCTTATTTTTGGTCAAAATCGCGAAAATTGAAGCAAGGGCAAATACCCCGTTATACGATAGAGTGTTTGTTAGTTACATCATACAGAAGGTTCTTTAAGTCATGTTATTCTATCGTATACATTACATTTACTTGTTTTTATTTCTCACCAAAGAACCGTATTGTCCGTTTGTTGAAATACAATGAATAATACGAAGATATATTCGTCTTACAGTGTAGAGTTATGTCCCTTTATCGTATATGGATATTTTTTGCAGTCATAACCTCCTCCAAGTTTTATTTTCACTTTGACATACAAGTGTAATCACTGAATCCGATTGAATACCGGTGCACGTTCAATAGCTGACCTGGCTGTATCAGAATTCTCATTAACGGCTTTAATGTATAGTGTCAGGAACAAAATGTACACACCGTGTTTCAATATTGACAGAGAAAATAGCCAATTATTTAAAAAGAAATAATCTTTTAAATCTGTTGAGTACATTGTGGAATCTAACATGTTGATACCAGGGTCACAAGAAATGTATTACACAGGTCACGGCTAACCATAGTATATTGAATTAGGAAGAAGTTCGGCGTTCATAAACCTATTTCCAATAGCGTTGATGCCTATACTTCTGATCGTATTTATTTTTTTCAGTTCGAGGACATTGAATACAATTGGTGGTTGAAATACACACTTGGTGGTTGTAATGCACACTTGGTGGTTGTAATGCACACTTGGTGGTTATGCAGACTTGGTGGTTGTAATGCACACTTGGTGGTTGTAATACACACTTGGTGGTTGTAATGCACACTTGGTGGTTGTAATGCACACTTGGTGATTGTAATGCCCACCCAGTGGCTGTAATACACACTTGGTGGTTGTAATACACACTTGGTGGTTGTACTACACACTTGGTGGTTGTAATGCACACTTGGTGGTTGTAATACACACTTGGTGGTTGTAATGCACACTTGGTGGTTGTAATGCACACTTGGTGGTTGTAATAAACACTTGGTGGTTGTAATGCACATTTGGTGGTTGTATTGCACACTTGGTGGATGTAATACACACCTGGTGGTTGTAATACACACTTGCAGTCCTGGTGTTAATCCTTGTTTGTTGTTACTGCTTACTGTATTACTATTCTATAACAGTTGGTACAACAAAATATATATATAAGAAAAAATGTTTTTCGATTTTGGTCACGTGATGAAGTAAGCATTCCAGCTGAGAATGTGTATATAGAATAAATGACCACGTCATCTATGATATATTAACTTGTGCTCAACTGGGGTTTCAACTCATAACCTGACCAGAGTAGAAAACTATTGTATGTAATTTCATTATTTTGTCGGTGAATCCTTCATCATGAGTTTATGCATTATATGTGACCTAGCTACATGTTGTAACACACAAGCTACCTAGGTACATGTTGTAACACACAAGCTACCTAGCTACATGTTGTAACACACAAGCCACCTAGGTACATGTTGTAACACACAGCCAACCTAGGTACATGCAGTTACATACAACCCACCTAGGTACATATTGTTACACACAACCAACCTAGCTACATGTTGTAAGACACAACACACCTAACTACATGTTGTAACACACAACTCACCTAGCTACATGTTGTAAGACACAATCCACCTAGGTTCATGCAGTAACACACAACCCACCTAGCTACATGTTGTAAGACACAACCCACCTAGCTACATGCAGTTATACACAACTCACATAGGCACATGTTGTAACACAACCCACCTAGGTACATATTGTTACTCACAACCAACCTAGCTACATATTGTAAGACACAAACCACCTAGCTATATGTTGTAACACACAACTCACCAAGCTACATGTTGTAAGACACAACCCACCTAGCTACATGTTGTAACACACAACCAAGCTAGGTACATGTTGTAACACAACACACCTAGCTACATGTTGTAGGACACAACCATCCTAGCTACATGCAGTTATACACAACTCACATAGGCACATTTTGTAACACAACCCACCTAGCTACATGGTGTAACACACAACCCACCTAGCTACATGTTGTTACACACAACCCACCTAGATACATGTTGTTATACACAACCTACCTAGCTACATGTTGTTACACACAATCTGCCTAGGTACATGTTGTTACACACAACCCGCCTAGGTACGTGCTGTTACACACAACCCACCTAGGTACATGTTGTTACACACAACCCACCTAGCTACATGTTGTTGCTCACAACCCACCTAGGTAAATGTTGTTACACACAACCCGCCTAGCTACATGTTGTTTCGCACAACCCACCTAGGTAAATGTTGTTACACACAATCCGCCCAGGTACATGTTGTAAGACACTTGTTGTTACACACAATCCACCTAGGTTCATGCAGTAACACACAACCCACCTAGGTTCATGCAGTAACACACAACCAAGCTAGGGAAATATTGTGAGAAAACACCCACATAAGTACATGTTGATGCGCACAACCCACCTAGGTACATATTGTTACACACAACCCGCCTAGCTACATGTTGTTACACACAATCCGCCTAGGTACATGTTGTTACAAATAACCAACCTAGCTACATGTTGTTACACACAAGCTACCTTGCTACATAATGTTACACACAGCCCACCTAGGTACATGTTGTTATACACAAGCTACCTAGGTACATGTTGTTACACACAGCCCACCTAGGTACATGTTGTTACACACAACCCACCTAGCTACCTGTTGTTATACACAAGCTACCTAGGTACATGTTGTTACAAATAACCAACCTAGCTACATGTTGTTTCACACAACCCACCTAGCTACATGTTGTTATACACAAGCTACCTAGGTACATGTTGTTACACCAAAAACTACCCTGGTACATGTTGTTATACACAACCCGCCTAGGTACATGCTGTTACACACAACCCACCTAGCTACATGTTGTTACACACAACCCACCTAGTTACATGTTGTTACACACAACCCACCTAGGTACGTGTTGTAACACACAGCCCACCTTGGTACATGTTGTTACACACAACCCACCTAGTTACATGTTGTTACACACAACCCACCTAGGTTCATGTTGTCACACACAAACTACCTAGGTACAGGTTGTTACACACAAACTACCTAGCTGCATGTTGTTACACACAACCCACCTAGGTTCATGTTGTTACACACAAACTACCTAGGTACAGGTTGTTACACACAAACTACCTAGCTACATGTTGTTACACACAACCCACCTAGGTACATGTTGTAACACACAGCCCACCTTGGTACATGTTGTTACACACAACCTGCCTAGGTACATGCTGTTACACACAACCCACCTAGCTACATGTTGTAAGACACAACCCACCTAGGTACATGTTGTTACACACAACCCACCTAGCTACATGTTGTTACACACAAACTACCTAGGTACATGTTGTTACACACAAACTACCTAGCTACATGTTGTTACACACAACCCACCTAGGTACGTGTTGTAACACACAGCCCACCTTGGTACATGTTGTTACACACAACCTACCTAGGTACATGCTGTTACACACAACCCACCTAGCTACATGTTGTTACACACAAACTACCTTGGTAGATGTTGGTACACACAACCCACCTAGGTACATGTTGTTACACACAACCCACCTAGGTACATGTTGTTACACACAACCCACCTAGGTACATGTTGTTACACACAACCCACCTAGCTACATGTTGTAACACACAGCCCACCTAGGTACATGTTGTTACACACAAACCACCTAGCTACATGTTGTTATACACAAACTACCTAGGTACATGTTGTAAGACACTAACTACCTTGGTACATGTTGTTATACACAAACTACCTAGGTACATGTTGTTTCACACAAGCTACCTAGGTACATGTTGTTTCACACAAACTACCTAGGTACATGTTGTTACACACAACCAACCTAGGTTCATGTTGTTACACACAACCCACCTAGCTATATATTGTTTCACACAACCCACCTAGCTACATGTTGTTACACACAACCCGCCTAGGTACATGCTGTTACACACAACCCACCTTACATGTTGTAAGACACAACCCACCTAGGTACATATTGTTATACACAAACTACCTAGGTACATATTGTTATACACAAACTACCTAGGTACATGTTACACACAAACCACCTAGGTACATGTTGTAAGAGACTAACTACCTAGGTACATGTTACCCACAAACCACCTAGCTACATGTTGTTTTACACAATCTACCTAGGTACATGTTGTAAGACACAACCCACCTAGGTACATATTGTTACACACAACCAACCGAGGTTCATGTTGTTACACACAACCCACTTAGGTACATGTTGTAACACACAGCCCACCTAAGTTCATGTTGTTACACACACCCCACCGAGCTATATATTTTTTCACACAACCCACCTAGTTACATGTTGTTACACACAACCAACCGAGGTTCATGTTGTTACACACAACCCACCCAGCTACATGTTGTTACACACAAGCTACTATTGTTACTCACAACCAACCTAGCTACATGTTGTTTCACACAAGCTTCCTAGGTACATGTTGTTACACATAAACTACCTAGGTACATGTTGTTTCACACAAGCTACCTAGGTACATGTTGTTTTACACAAGCTACCTAGGTACATGTTGTTTCACACAACCCACCTAGGTACATGTTGTTATACACAAACTACCTAGCTACATGTTGTTACACACAACCCACCTAGGTACATGTTGTTTCCCACAACCTACCTAGGTACATGTTGTTACACACAAACCACCTAGGTACATGTTGTAACACACAGCCCACCTAGGTACATGTTGTTACACACAAACCACCTAGCTACATGTTGTTACACACAAACTACCTTGGAACATGTTGTTACACACAACCCACCTAGGTACATGTTGTTACACACAACCCACCTAGGTATTCGTACTTAAATATAACATGCCCAGTTACATGTATTATACCACAACCTCCCTAGGGTACACACACAAAACTATCATGTCATCTTAACTCTGGAGGTTGTGATGCATAGTTTATGTACTTATTTAGTTGTTTTTTCCTATTTTCAGCTATGTACGCTGTGGGAAGCCTCGGTTTGGTGTACGGCTTACCAGATCACAAGAGTCTCACAGACCGATCCTCCATTCCAGATACTGCCACCACGCTATCGTTTGACAGAGGTCCACAGGGAAACCGTCCACTGTCTCTCCTTCTTCCTCCTCCGAGGCCGAAGAAAAGACCGTCATCCTATTTTTCATATGGGTAGCAACGAGACCCATATTCCTTATTCCATATTCTTCCTAGATCTTCCAGATAAATAAAAACTTGAATGATATCCATAAATGTCACATATAATTAAATATATGATCATTTATATTATAGCTTGTATTTAAGATACATCCACTATGCATAGATTTAAATGAACTAAAATACACATTTTAGTTACATACACTTTGGTTTAGGAATCTATCTCGGAAAAACTGGTAAAAAGTAAGAAATGGCAGGATAAATTAAACGCCAATATTGGGTATGAACTTCATTTTTGATGAGAAATGCTGAGATCGCAAGTGAGACAATGTACTATTTCTTTTATGTCGTATATGATATTATTATGTTTTGTTCATTATTATTCATTTTAATTTTGAAGATGTTTTTCTTACATTTTTCATTCAGACAATTTTCTCGTGAATCTAATGAAAATTGTCGACAGAAAAAGGCATAAGAATAAATATGGGGAGGCACTGAGTGGTTGTGTTTTATCAAATATTCATTACAATCGTGTAGACATTAACTGTGTTTCAGGTTAGGGCAGTATATATACAATTGTCCAACCTGGTTACGTTTACGGTTGATCCTACTTACGAGTCTAGGAATCCTTCCTCACGGTGTGTCACTCCCAGCGGGATGTCTGAGTCGTGAGGATCAGGCGCACGCATTATCATACTTCAGCTCACAAAACAGTAAGGACAAGGTGATTAACTCTATCCTTAATAAAATATTGTCTGTAATCTGGGGATAACAGAAACGCTTTAGAAAAAGTAAGCACATAAAACAATATCTACCACATCGTCAACACAAGCCCAAAGTCGTAAATCAACGTTCACATAAAACAATATCTACCACATCGTCAACACACAGCCCAAAGTCGTAAATCAACGTTTACGTAAAACAATATCTACCACATCGTCAACACACTGCCCTAAGTCGTAAATCAACGTTCACATAAAACAATATCTACCACATCGTCAACACACAGCCCAAAGTCGTAAATCAACGTTCACGTAAAACAATATCTACCGCAACGTCAACACATAGCCCAAAGTCGTAAATCAACGTTCACGCAAAACGATATCGATGAAAACCGAGGAGACTCGAACTCGGAAGGAAAGACATCGGGAAACCCCACACATATTACCTCAGGTTTACACTCGGTAAAACAGCAGACTCATCTGTCTTCCACTGTCACTATTTACAAGCCGTAAAGGGTTTTTTTCGTGGTGTTTTTTATGTTTACCAGTTGTAAACGTTCCAAAGGGTTTTAATTTTCTCAAATTATTATAGCCTGACCGTAGCTCATTTGCCATGGCCAATAGACCTGAAATCTGCAAAAGAATAAAAGATCCAACGAAGTAGAAAATTTTCGCAAATCCGCGATAAAAATGGCGATAAGACTTTTGCGGTACATCAAAATAAAATTTAAAAAAACTTCAGAGCACGACATAATTAAAGTTAAATGACAACAACAAGAACCGCTGATACACCAAAGCTTAAAGGGGAAACATACTAAACACAAACAAACCAGGTTATCAGGGAGAGAGAGCACTTCCTATGATTTTAAGTGCGGAGCATTCTTCCACCTCATATGGAGAATGTGAATAACGTTGTCTACTTTTTTCTGAAACCTTGTACTTTTTGTTTGCTTTGGCAAATTTGGCTGTTTATATGTAAACAAAGCGGTATGGCCGGCCCGCAAAAAATGAAAGGGGCTGAAGTTTATGATAGGAAGAGTAAATTAGTTTGATGTGGGCATAAAGTGTACCTCTTTATCACTAGACATGATCTACTGATCTAGGTACACACAGGCCTTGGGTGATCATGTAATACGCTTCATACAAACCACTGTATGTCGTTTACTCACAGATCAATATCGGGTATTATTGATTTCACGATTATTTAAAAATATAAAAATAAGACTACATACCCCTGAATATGGATCGGGTTAAAAGTTCGCTTTATTGTGTGAAAATTGTGAAAGCGGCAAAAAAGAGTCACCAAATTAACGTCCTGTCCTATTATAAGTTAAACATGTTTAATTCAAAATCGTTTTCATCTGTGAGATGTGTTAAGGTGCCATATAAATCATCATAATTCACTTACGAGGATATTAAATATTGTAAGTAAAATGAAAGAATATTAGGAACGTATTGATGAGATTGAGAACCATTTTATAAGCGAAAATATCGTACAGAAAAGAAAACAATACCACCTACGATTCCCCGAGACTGTTAAACGTTCTGATCGTCAATCACTTCAATGCCATTCATTGGAACCTGGTGATATCAGTAATTATTACACTGAGTAACAGGGCCAAAGTGTACTTTAATACAGTTGTTTACCAGGAGTGTGAATGTGTTAATGACTTAATGTGTTAATTGCCCACAGAGGTGACCTTGGCTGGCTATATAATGTCAATTACACACCTGGTATTACAGCTTTCTAATGGTTCGGTGAAATAGACATTACTTCCATGACGTGTTATGTCACAAATGCATCATGTCTGGTCTGCTGGATTAGCCAATGATTACATAACATGTGCGTGTGTTTATCGGACTGTTATATATCTCGTTTGATCTTTAGAACCATTGACGGGTCTTAAATGAACGACATGACCATATTATGCAGTAAAATGCTGGCCATATTTGGCTCTCAGTATCGACATCCTACATTTTGCAATAGGAGCTTCCATCTTAGTATTTTTATCATTTATCTACTTCCTTTGACATATTCGACCCAAATGCCATTTACTCGATGTACATGTGTCAGGCTTCGTTGTGTACATGTACATGTGTCAGGCTTCGTTGCATTTCCTTCCTTGCAGCTTTTCCCTATAGTTTCTCGCCGACGACAAGATCATTTCTATACTTACCATCGTGTTATATTTATCCACTCGTGTTTCAACTCTTCCTTTTATTTCATGAGCAGTTTCAAACATTGAACTCTCCTAGATCTACAGAACAGCTTATTTTCGTTAGTTTATGTTCAGTGTTTTAAACAATGAACTCTCGCAAACATTGAACTCTCCTAGATCGACAGAACAGCTTATTTTTGTTAGTTAATGTTCAGTGTTTTAAACAATGAACTCTCGCAAACATTGAACTCTCCTAGATCGACAGAACAGCTTATTTTCGTTAGTTCATGTTCAGTGTTTCAAACAATGAACTCCCATAAATCTTTGTCAGAGTTGTGCCTTTCTTGCCTTCCGTTTTTTAACCAGAATTGTCGCATAGCATTTCACTAATTATTTTGCTTCAAATGACAAACAACTGTAACGGCTAATGCATTACTAATATCTTAACATAAGCATTTGATTCCCGTTTCTACTTGGTCCATAGTGTTTTATTCTATATCTAAGCAGTTATGAGTTATGAGCATAATGAAATTAACCTTGACAGGTTTCGTTCTTGTTTTCCTAGGAATTTTACACCGACACCTAGCCTTTAAGGAAAACGCTTATATATAGGCTTAGCCTGTGTTGTCTTATCCATTTGTTAATTGACACCCGAGCTTATTTCCTTTACCAAGGTTGACCTGTTGTTTCTTAACTTTTCTAAGCTTCCATATGGTCCTTGTCGAAGCATAACTGAATATGTTTCATTTTGTTATATTTTTTAGGATGTTTCAGATTTGTTTGTTTCCTTTAAGTGTTTAACTATGTTGTTCGTTATATTTTATCATGACTCTTTGCATCATGTTAAGAATGACCCTGTCAATGATTCGAATCTTCAGTTTTTAGACTTGGAGTACTCTCATGTCCTTTTCAAGTTGACAACAGCACTAAATTCAATTATACAACATTCTCATAATAGCATAATAGCATTGGAAATGCTGTTAGTACATCTACCGTTGCTGCTATATCTACCTGTAAGTACATCTACCGTTGCTGCTATATCTACCTGTAAGTACATCTACCGTTGCTGCTATATCTACCTGTAAGTACATCTACCGTTGCTGCTATATCTACCTGTAAGTACATCTACCGTTGCTGCTATATCTACCTGTAAGTACATCTACCGTTGCTGCTATATCTACCTGTAAGTACATCTACCGTTGCTACTATATATACTTGTAAGTGCATATATAACGTTGCTGCCAAATCTACCTGTAAGTACATCTACCGTTAACGTTGCTGCTATACCTACCTGTAAGTACATATATACCGTTGCTGCTATATCTTTCTGTAAGTACATATACCGTTCCTGCTATATCTACCTGTAAGTACCTCTACCGTTGCTGCTATATCTACCTGTAAGAACATCTACCGTTGCTGCTATATCTACCTGTAAGTACATCTACCGTTGCTACTATACCTACCTGTAAGTAGATCTACCGTTGCTACTATATCTACCTTACCTGTAAGTACATCTACCGTTGCTGCTATATCTACCCGTAAGAACATCTACCGTTGCTACTATCTCTACCTGTAAGTACATCTACCGTTGCTACTATACCTACCTGTAAGTACATCTACCGTTGCTACTATACCTACCTGTAAGAACATCTACCGTTGCTACTATACCTACCTGTAAGTACATCTACCGTTGCTACTATATCTACCTGTAAGAACATCTACCGTTGCTGCTATATATAACTGTAAGTACATCTGCCGTTGCTGCTATACCTACCACTAGCTGTTTGACTGTTGTACCATCTCTGCTTGTGTGAAATGTTTACCTTTGACAATCTTTATTTCTCCTATACTTGACCACGTTTAATTGACCTGCACCTCAGTTTTAACAGTAGTTCAGACCAATTTAGATTACCGATGAGTCCTAAAACAGCGGTGTGGTGCAGTGTTAGTCATTTTTGACTTGTAAATGTTAAAGGTGCAATGAACTCATTTTGTGTGTGTTACGCTCATCCTTCATATAAGATATATAACGAAAGGCGCTGCCAGTATGTAAAATATTTCTTCTTTTTCATCAGTTCGCTTTCCTCGTGACAAAATATTGTATACCAATCTAAAATGTTTTCTGATATATCACGACAGCTGATGACATCATCACCATGTTTGATCAATTCATTACAATGTATAGAAAACGCTGTAGGTGCTAGGGTGATGTTAATAACCTGTAAACAGTCTAAGTTTACAATGTACATCTAAGATATCCAATGAGTTCAAAATGAATTTGTACTTGTAAGTAATCGCTTGAAACGGTAATCCAAGGGAAGCAACTCCAATGTTGATCGGTATATGACTAAAGCCAAGATCGGATTATTACGTCTCAAAGTTATGAACTGTTCTTCTCTCTTGGTTATTTAATTTAATAAACTTAATAAGAATGCAACAATTAAGGACTAGAAATGATGACATATGTTTTATTGATTATATAACTAATGGAATCAGAGCTTTCCGTTCTGTAGGATAATCGTCAAATTTCTCCTTGTACCATCTAAAACAAGGGAGACATATAGTTAAGTTGAATCATATCATGTTATCATAGCATTGTTATCAAACATATCCTTCTTGATCAAATTCATAATTGGTTAAAAAAATTCTCGTTTCGTACTCGCAACACTTTATTTCTTAAGATCCTATCCACATAATAACCAGCTGGACTAGACAATACGTATTACTGCTGTTATAATTCTCGTGTTTTAGATTGATGATTTAACATGGCAATATAACATCAGAACCTTGGAGTGAAATGAGATTATTTACGTTACATAACTGAGTAAACTACCCGCCACGTGGTTACTCGAATATAAATTCAATTCAATTAATTTATTATGTAACTGAGAGTAACAAACGCAATTTGATACATGCACACACTACGTATACGGAAGCATACACGCACACACCCTCACACCCTCACACCACACACACACACACACACACACACACACACACACACATCCTCACTCACACACACACACCCTCACTCACACAAACCCACACGATATACATGTGCAGCACTATAACGACTGAAAGCGTTGCTTAAATACAAGTCTTATACATTTACCAAGATTAGTTAACTCTTTTACATTGTTAACACTTAGTAACTGAACGAGTTTGAATGCATAAGAACGATGATAATAAAAGGACTTCAAGTATCTGGCTCGTAAGTTTGCCTTGTAGATCTAACACATGTACATCAAATCGATCAAATACTCCCACCCACCCCCATCCCAACAGGAAGTAGAAAGAAATATATTCAATATTATTGTTTTGGGGGAGGAGAGACGGGAAATTCAAATCGTATTCATTATGTGTAAGTAGAGGTACTAGCTTCGCACTTATTACACATTATACAATTATTATTATTTTATTATTTCAAACATGTACTAATCGAGTTGAGAGATGCATACTGACAGTTGGAAATATATTTAAAATCTGATTACAAAAGATTTGACTCTCGACCAACTGAAATCTCAAAATAGGTTTTATTTTTTTGCTAATTAATTTACTTTTTATGGACAAAAAGTGTTATTTTTCTATTGTTTGTATGAGTGACGTATATGTAGCTTACCTGTGATGACTGAAAGCTCTTGGTGCTATGGAGGCGGTTGTAGACAAGAAGAAAGCTAGTGTTGGCAAAGTTCCGTTAGCAACAGCAAACCCAAACCACTCCAGAATCTCACCGAAAAAGTTAGCTCCAGATACGTACGTAAACAGCCCACCTGTGAGTGTGTGAAATCAACAACACCAAGTGAAGGTAAATTCAGTTTAAAAGTTTTCACATGAAGGCAACTCTCGTTCTATCCGTAGATAGATAAGATCATTTGTATCAATAGTCTGACATAAAGGGGAAAGTATACTCCCTGACGATGTTTTACAGATGTAAATAACTTGAACATTGCTAGTTTAAGATTGAAATGGAAAAAAATGCCGTTTTGCTGTATTACTGTACACGTAATGCAGAGGTAGCGTACCTCGGGGTATGTTGTATCCTGTTTCGCCTGGTTTTCTCAGAGTCCTCAATATGTGGTCAGACTCAACATTTATAAACAGTCCCAGGAAAAACATACATAAACCTGGATCATAATACAAAGAACCAAATTTCAGAGGTCATTTTAAACAAAAAATATGTATCGGCTTTATAAAGCTAGGTTACTCGGGTCAGTCTGGGTCAGACATGAAAACATACATTTATGGTGCTTTTTACATTCGTTACTGATGTTCGACGAACACTCTTGTATCATCACTGTCAACTTGTGCGAGCCTTGATTCAATTTTATTTTCTGTTCTTTTTATTTTCTCTACTTTTGTATCGATTAATACCATAATTGTGTTTACTAGTGATTCCAGTACGCTGTTCCCGTCCATGTTTCCCGCAGATTACCAAAACAAATCTGAAGACCCAGATGCGAGAATATTCGACATGGGTGGTATTATAAGCAAATTCATGTATATGATAAATAATGTTGGTAGTTTAAAGTCGTTACTATACCAAAATAAAATAGAGGATTCCTGTTCCAGTCCTCCCCGAAGTCGGCGTGGTGTAGGAAGTACGCTGCCTGAAGGTACCCATTGAATACACAAAATAACACAGCAAACACAAACGTCACCAGAGAGGCAGGCTTACCTCCCCTTATCAGTAACGGGTAAATAAGGGATCTGTAATCAGTAGTGTAAAATATGAATCAAAACACAACAATAAACAAAAATAAAAATAACTGTTTGAGAAAACAGATGAACACGTGTTTGTGATATTTATGTGTTTAAAATGTGAATATCAATTTACTATAATCTTGTTTATTATGCTTCCGCACCTTGATATCATAAACGATGTGTTTATTACCTGTGAATATAATGTAGAACAAAACACCCAAACAAGATTCGGTTCGGCGTTTGTACTATTCGAGGTGAGGATGTAAACACTAACAGTACTATAGGAATCACAATAGACGGAAGTTCCCAGACAAACCAAGCCAACCTCGAGTCGATGTAACATCCGTATCCTGCCCGGACATACCGTCCGTACGACGCACCGGAAGTTATGAAAAATTGGGAAATCGCGACGAATCCGGCGAATCCGAAAATGGAATAAGTGATAGTATCAAGTAGATGTATGTCCAATCTCATGTAATTCTCTAAATTAAAACCTTGCCATTTCGTAGCTTCCATTACACGTTTGTCTCTAGTTAAACAATTAGGCTACAACACGCTCCTCATATCGTACACACTGTACATATACCTGTATGAGCACACATGTAGGGTTATACGTATACCGTGTCGCCGACGATATTATAACACTAATGATAACGGAGGTCAACGAACATCATTTAGTTATACAACGATTGTCCCGGTGCAATAGGTTATCGATAACTCTAGATCTGGTGGTTGAATGTTACAAGCGCTCCCATTTATTTTGGAAGTGTTTCACTATTGATGGTTTAAGTAATGTTTGATTTCTAGTGTTATACCAGAAATTGCATAACTTTTACCAGATAAGTTCATTTCTAAACGTCCGTTATCATGTATGATATAGGTCCGTGTGTACGAATACAAATGTAGCTTTTGTCTGTCAATCTACAGCTATTCGTATGTTTCATGTGGTATTTATCCGCTCAACGATGAAATATTTGTGACAATGGTACTCTTAAAAGAATGAAATATCACAACAAAGAGGAACCATCTTTGACATATATTACGATATGGCGAGTTATCTTGATATTCTTTACCCACTTAACATGTTGTCAATCCGTCTGTACATTAAACATAGCCGATATTATCGGAGAAAATATCATATCTAAAGATATAAGCATACAATCAAATTAGTTGAAATGTTAATGGTAATTTGATTTGTACCAAGCAATGCGAGATACGTCAAACATGGTCAGTACTTATTTATATCAATTGGTTTCGACTTAAGCTAATACTGATGATATATATTTACTGAAAGATACAGTCGTATTAATCATAAAAAGCAACAAAAACACATTTTAATAGATAAACAATTTTAATTCGCAGATGATAATTGCATAGCAACATATACAAGCTAAAATGATTTAAAACTTAACTATTGGCAATGCAGCGGGGCTTTACACAAGAAAGATAACTCTGACACACCTGTTAACAGTTCTTGAAAGGGAGACAAATATGATACGCTTCCAGTAAACTCGTAAATCAAGATTTAAATCATCGTTTAAACTTTGAACAAATATGACTGGAAATAATTATACTTTTACAAGGCACCCATTAGCACGACACACTTTTCACTTATAAAATACTCTCTCATCCAATCGTCATGGCGCTGTACACCTCAACATCAGCAACCCTCATGATCACTGACCACTGCAGTAGCGTATAATGAGATGTATAAAACTGGTGGCGTTCTGTCTGCATTGTAAATATCGATCTGGACTTGTGGAGCCGTGCCGTGCCGTGACCTAATGAACCGTTTAGTCATCAGCCCCTCGATAACCGTTCCTTAGACATCAGTATTACACGGAAACTAGGTCCGTGGTAGTATACATGTAGGAACAGTAAAATAGGCTCATTTCTGTCAGGAAAAAGGGGGATTTCAATTCTCAGTACAAATATATCTTTCCTTATCACAATTTTGGAAACATTTTATTGGAAAAGTTTGTATACAATAATGTATCTTACAAACAGAGTATTCCGAAACCTCGTCGGGCGATGATTGGGGGAAAAACACTGCTGATAAAATTGATTGAAATTCGACATTCTGGGTTTTTATGAAAAAGAAATGAGCACAAATTCAAGAATGTTTTTCTTGTTATTGATCTGCTTGCACTTATATATATTAGTAACGCCCGTGATGTTTCTATTTTAGTCCTACGTGCCTCGGTGTTGTAGCAGTAAACGAAAACATATCCATTTGTGTTCATCTTATTTAATTGGAATCTGAACAGTGATGTTAATATCATTGTGTCCAATGAGATATCACTATAGCTTAGGAAAACGTTCCGTCTATAAAATGAATTGATTTTTGTTCCCTACTGACGAACTGCTTCGTGTCACAAAAAGATTTTATTCTGCGCACTCGATGAAGAGATAACTGTTCAGTTTTTGATTCAAATATTGATCTGTTTCTTTGTTCCAATTAAACTACAACCACCTTATACAGAAACCCCCATTAAATCATTCATACGGTGTAAACTACAAACACCTTATACAGAAACCCCCATTAAATCATTCATACGGTGTAAACTACAAACACCTTATACAGAAACCCCCATTAAATCATTCATACGGTGTAAACTACAAACACCTTATACAGAAACCCCCATTAAATCATTCATACGGTGTAAACTACAAACACCTTATACAGAAACCCCCATTAAATCATTCATACGGTGTAGAACAGGTGTTTCAGTCGATACGTTTGGTATGCTCCCTCCCCGTTTTAACATAAAAATATAAACTTAAAACAGGTGAGCCTCGTTATCCAACTGAAAGTGGCAAGATAGGGAATCGGTTAGAAAAATGAAATATGACCACTGCTCACGGCTTCTGGGAATCACGTGTAATTGACTCATCTGGAAAGTATTTCGAGTTTATAAATAAAGTTTTGTGTGTTAATTACGGTAATATATCGGAGTGTTGGAATGCAAATTCAATCATTTCATGAAGATAAATGTCACTAGATAATACCAAGGATAACTTACTAGACATACGTGATGGATTTCTTTAGATCACTACATCTGCGAGTCTGTGAGTGACAGTAAACACAGATGTATAGGAGACTACCCTGGTTTTAGGGAGAGACTGGAACATTTCCTGTTTACAATCATCCCTGTTTACTGTGCGGTTATTAAACAATTACTGTGGGAAACTGTGTGAGACGGGGATGATGTCACTAAGAAATAAGAAAACTGTTCATGAATTATTGATGGGGGATGTACTACGACCATCTTCACATGAATGTTTTACTTGCCCTAACAGCGTACACGCACTCTGTTCTCGTACCATGTTTAAGTTCTATGGGAGGTTAGCTCATTTGTATGACCCAGAACAACTTTAAATCAATAATTCAAGGAGCACAGATGTAAATGCCATTTGTAAACAAATATTCTCTCTCGTGCTTTTCAACTGAAAGTAGAGTCGGCAGAGTTAATGCTACAGTTCGAACGTTATGGTCGTTAACCGTTTACGGTATGATATCAGCTTATTGTGCATATATTTCTCAATCACAAAACACTGGAGTTATTTAACAGTAACCTTATTGAGACAATCTTGAAACCGGAAGTACAAGGGTTTATTATTCTGGGACGTTGTTGTAGTTGGTTCCTTTCGTTATTTTATAAATAGTTCGCTGTTAACCAATGTTCTGTGTGACTCACAGATCGTCTTTATTGTAGATACATGTAGCATGTTTATATAATTCAAATCGGTTGTTTTCGTTTTTTTCATCTCTTTTTGAAATGTGAAAATTACTTTGACGAAAAAAAGTGATAATCAATGTTTAAACGAGCTGTGGAGCTTTTTTCTATCACAAGTGTCTATGTCATTATCAAATGAGTAGGGATTTTTTTCGAGATGATAAGTTTGCGGATAAAAAAAATCACTGCTGTGTCAACAGCACTGTAACCAAATTTGTTTTAAATATTTAGAATAAAATAGGGACTTTTCTAATTGGATTGAAACTGAATGTTCGTAAAACTAATCAACTGGTAATTTTAAGCTTCCGTTATGGTACTTTATCGCGGATGAATGTGTTAATTAGCTAATACCTCTGCCGTTTAGCGGATGGCCTGGAAAGGGCAATTGTAGTTAAAACATGCGTTTATTATTCAAAAAAATATATTTTGCAAACGACCTTGCATTTTTATGTAAAAGTATAAATCACCTTATAGAGACGTACGACTGACGTCATTGACGAGTTCAAATGATCATTTTGAAAGTATCCATCAAATCAATTACAATTTTCAAGGTCATTTGAGAATGACAGAAACTGAAGCGGTTGACGATTTCTCCAAGGCACTCAAATTGTTCAATTAAAAACATGGAATGAATCACAAAACCGACATTTAATTAGTTTCAGGAATGTTGGCGCGGTCTGCACATTAATTTAGAGCTTAGGCACATCCGAACGGTTGAGAAACGGATTTCTTACCCGTTGATTTTTTCTCAGGGGAATCGTGAAACAGAAAACTGCCAATGTAGTTGCACAATGCAGCCCCAGATTGAGAAGCTTTTACGATTAGACATCTGAGATAGGCAAACATCAATATTCTCTGCCAGTGTTCCTGTCTCGTCCAATCTTGGTTCAAATCTCGGAATAACATCCTAGATTTGTTTACCATTGAGATGTTCCACGCCATGTTCCCTTTTTTCTACTTTTCTCCAGATGTAATAATTCTTTACCGGTCATAACTGTGTGTGCTCTTTAAATAATCAGTTTACCAACCCAATGTTTTATAACCTCTAGAGGTATTCTTTTCAATGCCATATGACGTCTGAAGACATGCAAACGGCATTAAATAATTAAATAAAACTAAAGAGCATGTCAAAACTACCAGGGTTAGGGTTGGATTCGGTATGTTTTTACAACGACAACAAGAGTGTCTTGCTGTGTAAAATAGGAATGCCTGCTACCGACTGTTCGTGTGTGGCTCGTCACAAAACAGTTATGATCAATGAAGTCAGTTCTTCCTGCATCCTGTTGTAGGATTGAATGCCACTGATTACTTAACATTATAAACATACCATCTCAGAACAATACACAGCACGTGCTTTACCGAACTAAGGTAGGACGTAGCGATTACTACATTTATATTCGGTTTCAAACTGAAAATAAAAGTTTGGTATTTCGGTGGTACAATTTGCTATTTTCACACTGAACCGACGAATCAAAATTTGGTGTGAAAAAATAACGAACAATGGACATTGTTCCTTGTGGCGTTACAGTAACTCTGAAGTTTCCTTATTGTGAGTCAAAAGCAATATCTTTTTTGTTAGGACACGAAGTCAGCGATACAATTGTATTGTACTTTTATTGAAATACCAGGAAAATTTGAGCTAAAGCATTATAGTACACTTGTCATAAGAACGTATAACTATTCGATTTGTACTCATTATAGTTTCATTAACGTGTCTGGGCTCTATGACTTTGTTGCTCTGTATAACTTCTTTTTTAAGGAGATCAACATCTAATTATTTGTTTGTAAGTCCTAGGTTTCAGTTCCTGTATAGTGGCGAGTATATCAGGTCTAAAGAGGACGTAGGCTATGCTTACTGTCTGCGTAAACCGTCCTTAATGCATTTCATTTGCAGCTTTCTAAACAAAAAGCGTCTGTGAGCCAAAATCAATGTTTCCGGAAATTCTGTTCCATTCCGTACATGATCGGGTTTTGAGCATGTCCCGGCAGTTACACTTCCCAGACTTCCATACCCACTATTTTAAGGTTTAGCCGTAACTTTGTTTAGACTACATACTTCGGGTTCAAACAGCTATCAAACAGCTTTGTATACATACTCGCGCATCTCCAATCCACTTCTCCGTGTAATAGGTAAAACACGTACCAAAGAATTATACACATACGGAACAAGTGCACGTCTTTGATATAAGTAAATCATTTCCGATCGAATAGCCACTAGATCTTTTTTTTTTTATCAAATCTGATATCTTGTATACCAAATATCTTAATTAAAGTTACCTTTTAAGTTTTCTACAACAAACGATGTTACTTTCTGAAAGACCCTTTCACATTAAACATCCTTTGATACAGACGAGTAAGTGACTATGCAGGTATATATAGGTATGTATGATGTATATGCAGGTATGTTGATTTTTGATGGTTCCCCGTTACGACTACCTGAGGGAACGCGAGTACAAGCACGCCCCTATACCCTGTGCACCATCACAGACAAACAGCTCTTGGTTTTCCAAGTAGCCCCATTTTTTTCTGAAGAAAATTCTATTTTGGCACAGATTCAATTAGACATGTCTGTTAAATTCAATATTTATTGCAGAGGAATTTTACAAGCCAAAGCAGAGTTTCAATGTTCCCAGTAAAAGTACGAGGTCAGTTCTTATCCGATTCCTACTTGTTAAGGAAATGTTTGTGAGGACATAGTTAATTTGTTTTTTACTACAACTTCCTGAAACTACGTTTAATGTTTTTCTTATTGTAACCGCCTGAGACAGTATGTCGTCAGTGAGTTATTATACATATAGTAGTTAACTCAATAGCGACACAATCTGACTGAAACCATGTAGTTTATTCCACTCCCGACTCACAACGCCCCTTTGACTGGAAAGTAGAGTATCGGAGTGGAATAAAATATCTGGTTTTAATCAGATTAATACAAATTTTTAGTGCCTCCCTCAATAACTACATGTTTTCCTTCCACTTCCATTCATAAATCAAAGCAAAGGGAAAAAAGGCCAGACTGGGATTCATATGCGGAACCTCCAAACTTTAGACGGAAACTGTATAGGCATTTGATCGACCCAGTCGGTTCCGCTAAATTTCTTCCTCTCTCAGCAACGTATTTGACTCCGAAGAAGCACGTGACTCTGTACCAATCCATGGGTATATTTAGGGAGACGCAAAATTGGAAAGGGGAAGGGAAAAAGCAACGCCCAGACGTTCTACAAACCAACTAATCCACTTGTCACCGGCGATCGACCCAGACCAACTTCGCTACACATGCATTAATGATTACAGAAAATAACGCTGAAATGCGAAAGCTGAATATGTATTAATATCAGTATTATATCAGGTAACTTACTGCAAATCTTTTACTTTCCACGAGTCATTTATTTTCATTGTTACATGAACATATCGTATTAACTTGATAAACTATCTACGCAGTGATGTTTGGTTTCAATTTAAGTACGTTGTTATGATTATATTACTTGATATCTTTTAATTACATTTATACAAACTAATGTGTGCTCTTCCTTTTCCCCCGAAATTTAATTGCTCACCAAAGATAAGAGATTTGCAGTAATATTGCATTGTTTATGTGATCATATAAGTATTGTACACATGGTATGACTTTTGGCCATAACAGTCTATCAAAGAGTGGCATGTACAAGGCTTGTTCAAAACTGGGCTGTTATTTATAGGGAAAATGGGAAAATATCTAAGTTTATAACCGCCAATCATTAGCATAAGTCACTGAAACGTTCTTCGTTTTGGACTATACGCAGCAATCATCGCAGTGACGCGACTAAAATTAGCACCAGAAACATGTTAACTCCAATAACAGACGTCTATTTCAAACATTCAATTAACAATGTTACACGGAGTGTCATTGGTCATTTGACCGGATGTCCTCCGATATACCGGAACTTGTACTCTCACTCGTCAGCGTTAGTTTGCTACCAACTCGACTAGACATTTCATTATCATCTCGATCATCTTCGGGGGATTTCGAAGAATGTTCGAAACCCATCGGGCCGGAAACCAACGAAAGTTCGTTCAATGGTTTCTCAAGCTTTGTCACATGTACGAAGCAGCACGGCTGTGAAATCTCAGTTTTCTTTGGAGCTTTAAACTTTTGCTTACTTTTTTGCGACTTCTTCTTTTTCTTTGACTTGCTGATATTGAAAAGTTCGTCATTCGGATCAGACGTCAGCTTTGAGAGCGCGTTAAAGAATTCCGTTGCCGCGCTTCCGTCATCGAAACTGAGTCCCGCCAGCCGTGTATGGTCGGTCATAAGATGGAGAGTGTGGAAGTTAATATGAGACGCGGAATAATTCGACAAATGGTCTATCTTATTTTTCCACAAAATAAATCCGCTGCCTTTTTCGGACAGCACAATCTGTAATCTCCGCTTCCGGTGGTGCTCACCAGTATCAAGTACAAGCACTGGAATTCCGGTCATGGCGAATTTCCAATGATCTTTTCCACCCATGACTTTTCCGAAATATAAATTGGCAAGACAATTGCAAACAATCACATCAGTTTTATGACTTTTGAAGAACGTATCCACTTGTAGAATATCCTGTTCCGTGACGCCTTCTGTAAAACTCACCGGTCGGTAGCTCGAGCCCTGTGATGAGGACGATTGGGCCGGTTCGGATACTTCAATGGTAGGGTTTTCCCGCCTTTTAACCAACTGGTCTTCTGTTGCGGTTCCATTCGATGTTGTTTGAGGCCCGAATTTAGCCACAGAATCATATTTTTCCTTTAAATGTTTAATTCCTTCCTTGACCTGACCACTGTTCCGTAACCTTATAATGTCCTCTGTCGTACAGTAGGGATTTTCCCGCTCAAACGAATCGCACATGACGTCATTTTTAGTCGGCATTGTTGCAGTATGTGCCATCGATAAAAACCTCAAAATAGAAAAGTTTACTGTAAAATAGTTGTACGCACACAACCTTTTGTAGATCTGCCTTCAGATTACAAATAGACCATCTTTAAATTTGAAATGCATCCTTCTCAGACATGTTAATTAGTGTGTTTATTCCAAAGAATACACTTTACAATTCTCAATACACATGGTAATTTCATATTTCACAATTTAATGATGTGTGGGGATAAAACTGTGGTTATCCTTCAGATATATAAAAATCCTCCACGTGGTTTATGCACTAATTTGATTTCCTATTGTAAAGGAAGTGTGACGTCACGAAAAACAACCACTCCTAATAAATGTTGCAGTATCCTGGTCGACTTAAGATAAATTAAATGCTCCTGCACTTTAGATTCTGAGCTTTGACACAATACACACACATGTGTTACTCAAACAGGGTTCCACAAAATACGAAAATATACTCCCTTTACAAACGAGTATGGCGCGAGGAGCTGACTATCGCGGTCACAGGAATGTTTTCCCGCTTATTACGCCACATCTTGGTATGATTCCAGGTCACGTGGTTAAGATGAGAACAAAACGTGAAAACCAATCTGGCACTTGTTGATCGTGGCTGGTGATGTTAACGATCTGTAATGGACAAGAAAACAGGATTTAATATAAAATAATATGCTCAGTTCCCGTAGAGGTAATGAGGAATTGTTCAAAACCGTCCACAAAACTCGGCCAAAGTTCATGTTCTCCTCAGTAACGATAAAACCAAACCCAATTATTTCTACTAAGACTGTAGATATATATATTGCTATAACTTACAATATAAGATAATTCCGATATCTCATCAATCTAAAACATAATATTTCCCCGTGGTAAACGTGCATACGGTATAATTGGTTCCAGAAGAAGAATCGCTCGTTATCTGACACATTACTCGGAAAATCACGGTCTCTCACAGCTTGATAGCCTTACATAGTTATTACCCTTTGTGGAACTCTCCTTACAAAGAGGATGATTAGATCTCAGACTTATCACTCACGTCCTAAACGTTTAACGTGAATGACCCTCTCTCTCTCTTCATCACTCGTAGAATTGTGGGTGAAAAGTGTATCAGTAAGTGACAATGTTCACAGATTATATACATATGATTACATATGAAGTTGTTTCCCGGAAGGAGGAAATAGGAATATATTTGTTTCTAAACGGGATCGAATATCTTCCTTAAAATCACGTGATTTCTATGGTATTTGAAGGCGATAATGAAGTACAGGTTTAGTTTAGTTGGTTTGGTTTACATGTAATTTTGCTTAACGTCCTATTAATAGCTAAGGTCATTTAAGGGCGTGCCTCATTGTGTGAAGTGTATGCGTGCTTGCATGTGTGTGTGTAGGAGACAGTGAATGTTGGTGTGCTTGCCTCTTTGTGATAGTGCGGATATGATGCCGACTTTATAGTGCTATCTCACTGAAATATCATGCCGCAGGCGCCCATGACAGCATTCCGTCCGGTCACATTATACCGACAACGGAATAGCCAGTTGTTGCCATCCCCCCGAATGATGAACGTTAAGCAGTGAATAACAACTACCATTTTTAAGGACTTTGTTTGGTATGTCCCGGCCTGGGGACAGAACCCATTGCCTGCCTAACCTGAGCGAACGCTCAATATTAAGGCCAAAGGTGAGGTGTTGTCAAGCAAAGCGTTAGGAAATAAAAGGGAGTTAGAAATGGAAAGAAAGATAAAGTTCCCAAACATGACACTGGGTGCAGCAGATTTATGTTGGTCGCTTTTGTGCCCCCAAATAGAGGATACCAATGCAAGTCCCAAATTCTGCAGGGGGTTCCCACATTAGTCGCCTCCTACAATACATGCCGTGGGTAACAACAGGTGTATTCTTTTCCCGACCCCCACCTGCAGGGGTGATGAAGTACAGAGTTAACTTACTAGTAAGTAAATGGAGTACACAAAGTGTTGATGGACACTAGGGAATTACACGGTGGCGACACTATGTGATCGACTGGTAACAATGACTATGACGAGGATACCCACGACGAGTGGGGTTGTGTTCTTTTTGTAATTTTTGTAATCTAGTCTGAAACCATGAACTTATGTTGTATTACGTTGTATGTAAACCATTTAAGGAATTGGATTTAAATTAGCGGGTTGCTTGTTTCCTTCTTTTCATAATCTGTTATTTTGGAAACGTATATGTATTGATATTCACTAAATCATTGCCTTATAGCGATAGGACGTAGTCAGAAAATGACCTTGCCGTATGACATTGACCTTTAACCTTGACAAACTGTATCTAATCATTAGCCAAGATACACAGATGTGGCGATCAAGAAGTATACAGTATACATGTACAGTTTATTGTCTGTGAATAAATAATTGAAAATTGACATTTACCTTTGACCTCCAGGAAGTTAGGTGTTTTATAGAATGCTTTGCCAAAATACTTCAAAGCGGTTGCATACCACTTTCACCCACGCAAAAGAAACATAATTTTAACGAAGAAACACTATTTCACATGTTTTATTGTAGTGATCACGAATGTTTGCAGCGCGTGTAAACAATACCACTGAAGTCTCATTGTGTTCATTTCAGTTCCGACAAATACGGCGGTACGACCTTATCGTGAAATGTGTCCTCGTTGTCATGGTGGTGTTACGTGATACGGCCATTACACCACCAGACGAGGCTGACAAATCGTTCTGTACTGCAGGTATCTGTCGGAGCTCAGCCCCAATTTTCTGATAAAGCTTTGAATGTGTGCCCCTCTTTAACCCCTTCCCCGCCGCATCATCTATCACCTACATCACCAGCCTACATATATAATACGCCAGGCCGCAGACGACCGTTGAGTGTGACAATGTATAACAAATGAAGACTGCGTTATCACACAGGAACCTGAAAAAATAAAATGATGTGTCCAAACAAAGCTGCTGTCATATTTCTATGTCACTGTTTATTATCCATCACTTGAAACAATTATTGTAGATCGGTTACAGAATAAACATTGTTTTATAACAGTGCATTTGTAACCTTGCCCTAAGTGTTCAAAACAATTGAAGTATAGAAAGGAACTTGACATACTGTGATATCATCATATATATCCATTACTTCTATAGTAGGCTTCCTTGTTCATGTTGTTGCCAAACATACTTCTGTTGTATAGTTCCTTAGGGAGTTTCTACAACATCAACAAATATTGACCACCTAACCAAAATCACAAATCTAATCAAACACGTCATCTGGTTTCCGACAGTCCTGCAGCCCCTACATGTCGACATCGCTTCACCCTACACCATGAAATATGAAGCCATTGTACCATTCTGGGACGTGGTATATATTGCACTTCTCTACTCATTAGTCGCCTTCAGCAGCTTCAAACCATTCGCCCCGACTCGGTGTTATACATGTATATATATGAAATCTTGATATCATGCCAGTTACAAGTGAGCAATTATCGTTATTATAGAAAACGTGAACTAACAAACACCGTACGTTAGTGAAGAAGCTCTTCAGAAGGGTACTTATTTTAAACTCAGGGTCAAGTGCGTGTTCGCATTATCCGTTGTAACTGTACATGTTGGCACCCCTCCTTGTGGGAACCAAACTGTGGGTGTCATCACCTTGCCAATTTATGTCACCCGCACGGGCTCTATATACGGATGTTTTTTTGTTTTTTTTGGTTACAAGGAGCCTACAAATATTCATTTTGTGCAGTCAGGTTGTTTTGCTTGTTATTAGTTGAATAAGATATAAACAGGAAATTGGATACGGAAAAACGAAGTATGTCCACGAACGGCCCCGCAACAGGAAGACCATCTTAACGAACATATTTCGGGATCCGACTGCAGTTGGTACTTGTGACGACAGGGACTGGATCCACGCACATCTGCGCATCTGACAGACACTAGATGGTATAATCGTCTTTAGTGAAAACTGTCTAATTCAAACTACTACGTTATCAAAACAGTTCAAGATTTAAAATATTTGCTAAAACTGCGTTTAAATTCAATCCGTAATTAGAAAAAAGAAAACATAAAAAAATCCGTATAAAAATGTAATCAATTTAGAGATGTATGTTTTTGGTATCGCTGAGTCATCGGGTGTAATGTTTGTAGATTGATCAGTACATGTGCACGCTGTATATTATATGTGAAGTCGAGGTTATATAAACAACCGGATGTGAAATCAAATTAAGAACAAATAGTTCTGCTAGCAATTTCGATCGTCAAGAGTATTTTACGTTTAACTGGAAGTTTGTGTTGTGTATTTGTACTTGAGTAAAGCATTATCATGTAAGATTTATTACTTCCTGAAATAATTATTTCTGGATAAACAGGAAATACCTTCTTGCATGTACATACGTGTTTGTCACTTTCAGTTGTATAATACAAACAAAATGCCAGCTACACTGTACCATTAAATTACCAATAAATTGCTTCTCGGCACAAGAAGCCGTCGTTAACCTCAATGATTCAGCCTAGTTAGCAGCGTCATTGATGTTTATGGGGACATTGAATGTGTCACTTGACAGTTGACAGCTGAAGCTGTGACAGGAGAACGTGTCCTAGCTGAGGCTCTGACAGGAGAACGTGTCCTAGCTGAAGCTGGGACAGGAGAACGGGTCCTAGCTGAAGATGTGACAGGAGAACGTGTCCTAGCTGAAGCTGGGACAGGAGAACGGGTCCTAGCTGAAGATGTGACAGGAGAACGTGTCCTAGCTGAAGCTATGACAGGAGAACGTGTCCTAGCTGAAGCTATGACAGGAGAACGTGTCCTAGCTGAAGCTCTGACAGGAGAACGTGTCCTAGCTGACGCTATGCCAGAAGAACGTGTCCTAGCTGAAGCTGTGACAGGAGAACATGTCTTAGCTGAAGCTGTGACAGGAGAACGTGTCCTGGCTGAAGCTCTGATAGGAGAACGTGTCCTAATGGAAGCTGTGACAGGAGAACGCGTCCTAGCTGAAGCTGTGACAGGAGAACGTTTCCTAGCTGAACCTGTGACAGGATAACGTGTCCTAGCTGAAGCTGTGACAGGAGAACGTGTCCTAGGTAATAAACGGTAGCTTTCAAAACACGACCCTCAATAAACACCACATCTTACTACAACAGACAGTGATCCGCACAGAAATTGGTTGGATTGAGCATACGAACGTTTTTTTCTTTAGAATGTTCTTTTTTTCTGGTTAAAACAATGGAGCACTACATGTATATATTTGGATGCTCTAAAATTCTCGTTTCTTTAATTTCATTAGTATCCGTCAAAATGTGGTCATCGTTCCAGCGAACAAGATTTATACTGCGCATGTGCAGGATTTAAGCAAAGAGAAATGTCGAAAAATGCAATACTTCTCATTTGCGATATTTGAGATTCTGCACACTGTTTTATATAACATTGACATGTTATATAGAGAACATCATTAAGGACCTTTTTACTGGTAATATTGAGCCGTGTGCGTGCGAATCGTGATGTTAAGACTATAAACACGGTTTAAATGACACGAGTAAGCTGACCTTGACCCTCCCTGAGTCACGACTGCTCCGGGGAGGGAAACAGGAGACAAGGAACCGGATAGAGGTGGGAGGGGGACAGAGGGAGGGGGTGACAAATCGAAACGTCAAGTA